TGTGAGAAGTGATCAAGCCATTAATACAGCTACAATTCAACTGACAACTGAGCACTGGGGTAAAGAGTTTTGTAACATTGTGGGGAAGGAAAACATTATAGAGGTCATACGTCGACATTGGTTAAGTGCCTCTAGCATTAACCTTTACATACGGTAAATTAATTTTCAAATTATATAATTCTTTAGCAATTTATAACTTTTTGAACGTTCATTGTATAATGCATTTCAATTCTACTTTTGCAATACAAGATATTTGTGTGAAGCTTACTTGCATGGGACAACAATGGCAAATAGATTCTCATTTATATCTCCATATGAAATGGACGAAAGGCTCAATCTGAACCCACATCAACATATGGCTGAAATGTTGAAGCGTCATATGGGTGAAGATCACTTGACTTTTGCACCTTATAATGTTGGGTAAGTCAATTTGATTAAGGCTCTGCTTTATGTTTTATAATTTAGCATATAACTTTTAATTCTTGTAATCTTAAACATATATTTATACTCGTGGTAGGCAACATTGGGTCTTGATTGCCATCAATACTGCTAACGAGACTATTTATTATATGGACCCTTTACGCAAGCAGCTGAAGATCAGAACACATATATAGAACCTATTTAATAAGTAAGCATTTATTTATGTCAACCAACTATGATTAATGTTAAGTGGTTCAAATGTATCTAAGTTCTTTCATGCACCATTGTTAGCGCTCTTGTCACGTATTGAGCAGAGAGGGAAGTGCAGCCCTCTAGGACAAAGATGACTCAGACAAGATGGGTCACTGTACAAGTAACACTATACCATACAATATGTTTCTAATTTTTAGGTAAATATTAATTGTACTGTATATCTATCGTAGTTAATGCTGGTTTATTTGTTTTTATCTTCCATATAGTGTCCAAAGCAAACAAATAATGATGACTGTGGATATTATGTGTGTCTATTCATTGGGGATGCTTTGCAACATGGACAAATTGTAATCCCAGTTAATGTAAGAATCTTACAGATGCTAACTGTTTGCCCTATGCTTATTATTTGCCTTAATTAATTAAGCTTTGTGTTTTATTATTTTGTATTCAGTACTTTCTAGAGGTACAGATGCTAACTTTCCTTGACAACAGAATTCATCAAGTGCAAAAGGAGTGATGTGCATATCTGTACCATAGATATTTAAAGGAGACATTAAGCACAATAGATTATTAGTGTTTTTGTACAATATTTAGACAATTTTCTAAACCTGCGAAAATTTAGGCAAAAAGTGTAAATATGAGATTATTTTCCTTCTATCAATGTAAACTCTTATTGTAATATGTATATGTGAATTGTAATTGAATAATATAATGTGCAATTGCTTTGAAATTCTAGTATATCAGGCTCTGTTTGAAATTTATATTCGGATTGAATTGGTTTTGAATACTGTATGCTTTACCAAGTATGCTAAAAATAAAAATTATGATAGTTTTATTAAAATAATTAAGAAATATTTCTTAACTTTGGAGAGCGGGTCACGAAAAACTGCTTTGCAAAGTCCACTTGTGAGTGCGGTTCACCAAATAATTGCTTTCAGAAGTACGCTTAAGAGAGCGATTAAGCGTGAAACGCTCTCAGAAGTATACTTAAGAGAGTGGTTAAACGTGAACTGCTCTTATAAGTTTGAGATTAGAGAGCGGTTAACCGTTAACCGGTCTCTTTGGTCCAGCTTCTGAAAGCAGTTCACTCATAACCGCTCTCCAAAATATACATTTGAGAGCGGTTAAATAACTACTTTCCAAAAATCAAAACATCGCATAGCGTGAGATTTTATAGCACTTATAACCGCTTTCTATGTTTAACTGGAACCACTCTAACATCTCATTTCTGGCGTAGTGGGCACAAAAGAAAAAATATAAGACTTTTGTTATTTGTTATTGTGAATTTGATATTTTAGAGTTTGTGGAATTTTTTGAATCTTGCTTATTTAAGAAATAGTGACGACGGTAGAAATATTTAAGAATTTGTGTTCAAAAGTATTGATGAACCTCGTGAAAAGAAACATTTCTCTTTGAATGGTTAAATTTTTATAAAGTACGAGACTAGTAATGTTCAGAAAGATATATTAATCTGATGTGATTTGAGAAAGATGATGATATAATGTGTTATGCTGGTTAGCATGGCTGTGATGTGATGAAACATACTTGTAAGCATGTGGTTATGAGAATGAAAATGAATGACTAATTTTGTTTAGATTTGGTGGTAAGGATTTAATTTTGAGCATTATTTATAAAAGTTACTTATTAGAACTTTTACCAAGCAAAATCAAACTTAACCAAAGAATAAGTTGAAAATGAGATTGAGAATTCTAAGTGTGAATTTTGATTAAAATATCTTGGATGAAATAACTTATGTTTTCTTTATTTGATCGTAGATGAGAAAGATGGTACTTTGTCTTTGTGATGATTTTATGCGTAGTTGGTGTATTTGTCTAAAACGGAAACGAGAATGGATAGCCAACCTATGACTATGTTGAGTTTGACTATGAACTAGATGATGGTGGAACTTGGTTGCACTGTAGCAAATTTAATATCACCATCTATTGGAATGTTTTACTATTTTCTTTGACTACCTTATACCTTATAATGAGTTGGTGAATGCCTTTTTAAATGCGTCTATACGCCTAACTTTTTCTGTTTCACTTGACTTAATTCATCGAGAGATCCCATTAACTATTTAGAAACAGAAATGATCATATGGAAAGAGACGAAAAGCTTTACAAATAAGTCTTCTTGTATATTACAAGTCTAAAAATTCTTAAATTATATTTAATTTTAATTTTTTTTTAATTTATATTTAATGAGTTATAATAAATATAAATTAAATAAAATACTCAGATTACAGTTTACGCCGATATGAAAAGATTCTTTCCCTTGTGTCATAATTTCAAATAAAATATTTGTTCTTGAATGTATTAATCAGGAACGTAAAATTAAAATGGATAAACTAGCGCTGAAAAAAAAAACATAGCAGTGAAACTAACTGGCTGACTTTATTCTTTTGGTCCACGCTCATTTGCTAATAAAAATCAAATATTAGTGGCACATAGTTGTAGGTATACTCTAAATTGTGTATCCTTGACAGAAAGAAGATAAAAAGAGATGGGGTTATCGTGCTTCGTCAACCTCAGCTACATGCACGTGTTTTATATTACCTTTCCTCTTTTCCCGTGGACAAAGGCCCGTTGGCATCGCCGAATGAGCCCCATCTTGTACCATGATTCACTTCACAATATCATCATCAATCTCATATTAAAGTGTTAAACAATGCCCATTGATTCAACTTCTTTACGTTTTCCCTCCTAAGCTTCGCATAACCCCTTTTCTATTATTTCCGCACAATTTGGTCGGAGATTTTATTATCTAAGGTCAAAACCTATAAGCAGAACACGTATGACAAGGAAAACGTTGACCGGCATTAATTACTGCACGTGCCATTAAACTCAATTAGGGAGAAAGTCCTTCTTAAACTAGGTATGAACTCTGGGTTGAATATTAATTAATATTGATGTTTATTGTTATAAATGGGTTAACCATTAATCTTAAGAACAAAAAAATAATTAAATTCGTTTCGTAAAAGTAATAAAATTATTTACTAATATCTCAAGGACAAGACTCTATCAATGTTATTACGAAAGGTTATGTTATTCAGCATGTGTTTTGGTAAATAAAACAAAATGACATGATAAAATAGTTTATTTTATTTTATCTTATTTATAATATTTTTTATTAATAAGATATGATAGTTATATTTTATTTTATTTTTTTCATTACATCCTTACGCATATTTTATAACTTTTTAATATTTTCTAGAAAATATAATTATTAAAAAATATAAGTTCAAAGTTTTTATAAAAGAATATAATTTTAAAATATTTATAAAAATATGTAAATTTTTTAATAATAATTTTTTTTTAAAAATTATATTTTTTAAAAATCTATAATATCTTAAGAAAAGTGTATATTTAAAAAAATTGTAAAAAAATATTTTAATTATTTTATAAAATAAATTTTAACACTTTTAAAATTTTTCGCTCATATTATAATTTCTTTTCTAATAATAATTTTTAATTTTAAAAAATTGAATAAAATTATTATATCAAATTTTATTATCATATGTGCATGAAAATATTTTTTGATTTATATTTACATATATTTAAAAGTAAAAATTTAAATAAAAATTATCTTTAGAAAATCATATTAATTTTAATAAAAGAGTGTTTTATTTAAATATAATTTTTATTTTTTCTATTATTTATTTATTTATCTCAAATATTAAAAATAATAATATAATGTTATATGTTTTTCTATCCTTATATACATCAAATATAGAATAGGATAAGAAGTTTTTTTTTATTTTATTTTTATCATATTCTATCTTTATCTATCTCTTTTTCTAATCTCTTTCTCCTATTATATTTACTAAACAGAACCTTATAGTCGTAATTTGATGATCTAAATATGTATAGTTATTTATTTATTTTTTTCAAAGATCAAATATATCTCTTAGCCGATAGCTGAAAGTTATTCTTTTTAAGGTGTAGAAATCATGAAGTGAGTTTCTCTATCAACTTTTTTTCATACAGTATTTGACCGAAAGCTAAACCGCTATCATTATGCATGCTTATGTAGAACAGCTAGTTAAAGCTAATGCTTAATTGAAAATTAATGCGTTGTTAAAGTTAAAGCTAATGCTGATCCAAGATTTGTGACTAGCCATTTTAAATAGTCTAATTGGAGTTCTTCGTGCCTGGTGCAACTTAATAATGCAGGTAAATTAACATTTAAAAAGAAGACAAGGATAAGCATGTGCATGACATGGTGCTTTGTGAAGCTCTCTCTATATAAATTAAACTTGTCCTTTTGACATTTTATTCAACCAAAAATCTGCTTTCGAGCTTTGCAAACTCCTACTTTTTTTTTACGTATCAGAGTCTGAACAAATCAATTATCAGTTGTCACCCAAGATGGCACTCCTACCAAACTTGCCAATCTTAGTTATTTTTCTTGCTATGATCTTTACATGTCTTGCACAAGTTGAGCCATCCAGGGCTGGGCATAACAGGCAAAACCAAACCCAAACAATGGGCTACATAGAGTCCTCTTGCAATAGCACTCGATACCCTGATCTGTGCATACGTTGCCTGGCCAGATTTGCCAATTACAACATCGATAATGGCCCTAAGGACTTAGTCCATGTAGCTCTTTCCGTGAGCCTCACGAGGGCACTACAAACAAGGGGTTACCTGTTGAAAGTGACCAAAGAACTTGAGGAATTCAATATTGGCAAAGTGTACCTTACTATTCAAGATTGCTTGACGCTAATCAATGATAGTGTGGACCAACTTAGCCAAGCCATCAAAGAGCTCCGCAGGCTAGACAAGCGCACCATCATAGACGATCGTTTCTTGTGGCAAATAAGCAACGTCGAGACATGGGTGAGCACTGCCTTAACAGATGCAAGCTATTGTGTACAATCGTTCCCTGGTCAAAGGATGAGTAAGAGAACTGCTACTATAAAGGTTAAGGCGCAAAATGTTGCCGAAGTCACTAGTATTGCACTAGCCTTGTTTCATAGATATGCTTCCAGGTACCAAGCGGCAGCTAGAGCCACCAAGGTACCATAAATAACAATTCTTGACGCTAGTTAACTCTTTGTTTAGTCATGAATATGTTACATGCTTTTTCTTTCGATGGTTTCGATCGTCGATATCCAAGATGATAACGATGTATAAACTAATGTATCCTTCACCATAACGTTAGATGAAGTTTTGTTTGTCATTCAATTTGATTATATTACTCAAGATAACAACAATTGGTACAAATAAGATTTTGAATCGCAAAGTTTTGATGGATAAATATATCTACAGAAAAGTAATGAAGGGTTATAAAATAAGTTTTTGAAATATCATCTCATAATGATCGTTTCTAATTATCAAGATTTTCTTGATTTAATTGTTTGACGTTAATGGATACAAAATAAAATAAAAACAAAGATTTAATCATAGAATTAAAATAGTACAACCTCTACAATAAACTAATCAAGAAGAACTTAGAGCTCATAGATTCATTTTTACAATGTTGTACGTTCTCTTTTTGATTAATTATAATTTCAGTTTCTCTATGATTGTCAATCACTCATCCTAAATCTATTGACACTCAGTAGTCATATAATGTTAACAGTCTTTTTCTTAAGTTATTACTCCCAATGGTCATGAAAGGTAAATAGAAGAAAAAATATAGAGTTTATAAGCTTTTAATTTAATAATAATTAAAAGAGAAGAACTAAGTTTGATCTACCTAACTGTTATGACCAAGGAACCGAGAACATTGTTTTTATACCACATACTTATTTAAGAAAGATAAATAATAGAAAATATAAGTATAAAATTCACTCCTCAAATCAAAATAAAACAAAGTTTCTTACAACAAATATCCAATAGAACAACATAATATTACATTTAATTCATAATATTCAAAATACACAAAATTATACTACGTAACTCCCTCTACATGAGGTCTCAAAATATAAAGAAAAAGGACTTTGATGCAAAATTACTCGACTCCAGTTTCTAACATTTCTCCACTAGCCTCTCAGCCTGTGAAGTAGATGCAACACCTGCTACATTTGTTCACGTACCACCGTACGATCATCGCAGTACACACGCACACAATGACATAGACATAAATGCAAGGGTGAGCTTTCAAAAAAATAAAATGAAATCGTATATATAGAGCAAAATATTACTCACAGCAACAGCCCCACGCATTATTAGCCCATTTAATGCACAACATGAGAAATAGTTTCTAACTGGTTTCACAGCCTAAGTAATCTAAAAGGAATCGAGCTAGTCTGAGAGCGACCTGTAATGCCCCTAATAAAGACTCAATGGCCCACTTGGGCGCCTCGCGCCTTCATACATGAAGTGGCATATATACATGCTTAGCTAGATGATTTACATCTGGTGAATAAGTGAATTAACATACATAACGCATTTATCCTAAATAAAGCATCTTAGTATTCATACATGTAAAGTATATATCTACTATATTGATATGTAATACTTGGTCATAAATCAAAAGACATATGTACTTGTGTACTTAAAAATTTTCAGTATCGAAATACATTGGAAATCCCTTTTTCTCAAACATAACCATGGTTTGAAATAAATAGCATCGTAAGTAAATACATAAATAATAATTTAATACCAAATAATCCTGTTAAAAAAAAATACAGCAATTTATATTTATAAAACAAAGGTACAACTCAAAATGGTTATTAACTCTATTTGAGCCTAAGAGCAGTCCCAACAATATAATTATACAAAGACGACAATTACAAAAGAAAACAATCAGAGGAAGTGCGTTCCTCTGAAGAATTAAACCATGCGTCTTGGAGGACTCAACAAGTTGTACTCAAGGCCACCAATACACGAAAAATACCTTGTCGCAAGGCCGGATTGTAGAATCTCATGTCTTCCTGTGATACTGATGAATCCACATTTTATTAGGTTTTTTACTTGTCTTTTTAATGTTTCTTAATAGAAAAAGTAAACTTAGGAATTGTAAATAACATAAAAACATCATTTTGGTCAATTCATCATAGATTTCTTAATTTTTGGTTAAATTACATTGATTTACATAGATATAGTTTGCAATTTTGATCATTTGAATAATTTTGTAGGAGTTTCTAGACTTATTCCATGAATTTTTAGCATTTGAGAAAGTTTGAGATGAAAGTGATCACTTTGAAGTCCATAGTGAACACTACAATAAGTTAGATCCAGAAGGGCAGACCAAAGTGATCACTATGAACCTATAGTGACAACTCCAGAGAGGCAAAAAAGGACAAGACTTGCACGTAGCTACTATGGAACCATAGTAGACACTCTGGAGCAGCCAAAGTTATCACTCTGATGCTAAAGTGACAACTCTAAAGAGGCAAAAAACACAGGACCTGCGCGTAAACACTATGGAGCAAGAGTAACCACTCTGGAGCATTTTACGTTATCACTATAAAGCCAAAGTGATAACTCCAGAGAGACCCAAATTATGAAACCATAGTAGTTACTTTGGGCGAAAATTTCTGCACTACAAAAAGGATTTGAGAAATTAGGGTACAGGTTTTTGGACATAATTTTAGATTCTTTTGCCACTTTGGGAGCATTTTGTAGAGCTTAGGATCCTAGGGTGACAACCAAGGCCAATCTTAGGGTTTGATTTACAATTACTCTTCATTTTCCTTTAATTCTTGCATTATGATGTTGATTTCCCTTTGTTTCCATCTTGAATTTGTAAGACCCATCCTTATGGAGGGATAAACTTTCTTGTAATCCTTAGTGAGTTCATGGATTCTTGAATCCCTGGGTATGAATGTCAATATAATTCCCTTTTCTTCATGAATTTATATTTCCCAACTCTTTGAATTGAATTAATGGTTGAATGAGGGAGATATTGCTTAATTAACCCTAATTTGTTTTAATGAAATTCTTAACTTAGTTTGCTTAATCCTAAGTTAATTTCTAAGGTTGCATAATCTTAGGGATGAGAGATTAAAGCCCATGTAAATTGCTTAATTTGTATGGGATATTAAGGTTAATTCTTGTTTTTTGAGTTACCCTAATTCAGAAGAAGAGGAAAAGTATTGAATCTTGAGAGGGATAGGGATAGAATTACATGAACAAACTAAGGATTGCATATTTCATTGATTGGATTCATTAATTTCGTCACTTGCCTTTACATTAAAATTGGAATTACACAAAACTCCATTGTTTTAATTGCTTTTATAGTAAATGTTCACAACATGTTCAATGTATGTTACAAACCAAAGTCATTGGAGACAACCTAGGCTTGCACCCTAGATACTACAAAATTTTTCTCCATATTTTGATGAAGGTTGACAACAAATCATTTTGCAAAACGAAATGAAAATCTATCGTTCATCAAATTGGCACCGTTGCCGGGGACTTTGGTGTTAATTTTGCATTGAACTTGTTAGTTGCTCTGTTTTAGTGTTCTGTTTTCAATTTTTCTGCACTATTGTTCTGGTTTTGCTGCATAATTCTGCAGGATTTGTGCTTGTGTATTGCATATTTTTGTGTCATAGTTTGCAACTTTGTTCTATTTTTGCTGTTTGGTGTTAATGCTTTAATTTACTGCACTTAGTTATTAGTTTTTTTTTGCATAATTGTCATCTGAATTTTTCTGCATTTTTGCTGTTTCATTTAGTTTACTTCTTTCCATTGTTCATAGTTAATTTCTAGTGCATGACCAAGTCAAATCTTGGAGACTTGTATCCACTTGATCCAGAGATTGACAGGACATTTAATAGTAGCATTAGAACACAGGAATAGTTTTGAACATTTTGAGGAGTCTTCATCTCCTTCATCCCCTTCATCTATCTATTCATCACCTCATTCTTTAGGATCTGAATTTGAAAAAATGGCTGACAATGAAAGAACATTAAAGGAACTGGCTACACCAAATGTAACATATCAAACTTTATGCTTACAGTATCCTGACATTGATGCTCCTTTTGTACTAAAGACTGGACTAATACACTTGTTGTCAAGATTTGATGGCCTTGCAGGTGAAGATCCACACAAACACCTCAAGGAGTTCCACATTGTTTGTTCAACCATGAGGCCACAAGGTGTGCTTGAGGAGCATGTCAAATTAAAAGCTTTTCCGTTCTCTCTAATGGATGCAGCCAAGGATTGGCTCTACTATCTCCCTCCAGGATCTATTACTAGTTGGGATAACTTGAAGAGACTTTTCCTGGAGAAATTTTTCCCAGCATCAAGAGCTGCATCCATAAGAAAGGAAATCTGTGGGATAAGGCAGCTTGAAAGAGAAACGCTTTGTGAATATTGAGAAAGATTCAAGAGACTATGTGCTAGCTGCCCCCATCACCAAATTAGTGATCAATTGTTGATACAATAATTTTATGAGGGACTGCACCCTATGGACCGAAGCATGATAGACGTCGCAAGTAGAGGAGCGTTGGTTGACAAAACTCTAGTTGCAGCCCGCAACTTGATTGAGAACATGGCCGCCAACTTCCAACAATTTGCAACAAGGCAAAATTCTTGTGTTACCAAAAATGTGAGTGAAGTACAAGTTGCTGAATCTAGTAAACTTAGGAAGTGTAAATAACATAAAAACATCATTTTGGTCAATTCATCATAGATTTCTTAATTTTTGGTTAAATTACATTGATTTGCATAGATATAGTTTGCAATTTTGATCATTTGAATAATTGTGCAGGAGCTTCTAGATTTATTCCATGGATTTTTAGCATTTGAGAAAGTTTGAGATGAAAGTGGTCACTTTGGAGTCCATAGTGAACACTACAGCAAGCTAGATCCAGAAGGGCAGACCAAAGTGATCACTATGAGCCCATAGTGACAACTCCAAATAGGCCAAAAAGCACAAGACTTGCGCGTAGCTACTATGGAACCATAGTAGACACTCTGGAGCAGCCAAAGTTATCGTTCTGATACCAGAGTGACAACTCCAGAGAGGCTAAAAACATAGGACTTGCGCGTAAACACTATGGAATGAGAGTAACCACTATGGAGTGTTGCGCGTTATCACTATGAAGCCAAAGTGATAACTCCAAAGAGGC